GCCGACTGATAAACGATACATCAATCGATGCAGAAAAGAATGGCGCATCTTTCTATGCTAGTCTCATGATGCGGCCAAACACCCATCAAATCGAAAACCGCAAAAAATTCCCATCCGTCTTTTAATTCCCATGCCCAACCCAATGGGTCCGCCCCGAAGCGAATGGCCCTCGAAAGCCCGGGGGCGCGGGGGCTGTGCAATGGGCCGGACAACCGCCCAGCCCAGCTTTTCGGGTCCACGGGCCGATGCTTTGGAAGCGGAATTTTTGACAATTTCATGGAATCGAAACGAGAAGCGCGATACACTACGAGAACAGGTTTCGTCTGCACAGATTTCGATCCTTCCGCTTTGAAATGTTTCAAAAAATATAGCATGGAAAAAATTAAATGTTTACGCGACTCCCTAAGAAAACAAAAATTCTTTAAGATTCGCGGCAAATTCCAGTCTTCGAAGCACATTTTCCGTTATATTGTGACTGTCGAGCCGGGTGGCAAGCAACCAGCACATCATCATCACGACGCCCCCTGCCCCCCGGAATTTCGGCGCCCGCTTCAGAATTCGATAGAAGAGGATTGCGGGGGGAAAGGAGTTTATGAAATTTGCGCCTGCGCCTCGAACGATGCACTGCCGGAACGGCGCCCTGATAGGGAAAACAGCGGGGGAATTCGATTTTGTCAGCGTCGTGATAGCGGGGGTTTTATTGAATCTTTCATTAAAGGGGCGCACAATAGATATAGGACATTGAATCGGTCTTCCTTAAATGCGTTCAAAAATCATCGCCGGCAAATTTAGAAACCTAGAAAATTGTTGCCATAATTTCTTATTTTACGTTAGTCCGTGCCGAAATTAAGACTGAGTATATTTTGACGCCTATCGAATGACGTCATCAAAATAACGAAAAAATAACGCAAATGCTAAAAACTAAGCTCGAACTTCGAACCTACTTTCATAGTTTATGTTTGTTTTTGCCATACTTTTTGTATTGCATTATTTTGAGCTATAATTAAAGCTCATAGTATACTTTTTGATGCTCTATAGAATGGAATCACGAAACCCCCGAAAAAATGGCGAAAATATTGTCAAACGCAAAAGGAGAAGAAAAAGGCCTTTTTATGTATAAAGACAAAGTGCTGTTTTTGTGTAACTCTGGTGCATCTAACCAAAAAGAAGCAGAATGACAGCAAATTATCCTTCCCCCTTTTTCTATCCGCAACACGGCAATGTTATAAAAAAAGAAAAAGGAACTGTATGCTCAGCCGGCATGAATCGGAGCGACCAAAGCGTTTGTGTGCACCGGGCGCTGTTTACTTTGGGGGGCTTCAGACCTGGAAACCAGCGCCGTTTTTGGGCGGAAATTTTTGGGCGAAATGTGGGACCGACTGATACGGTCATTAGAAAGCAAAGCGTACTTTTATATTATTCAAGTAACCCTGGCTATACAAAATTACCAGCCCTTGTTTTTCGGCCCTCACCCCCCCCAAGCATTACTGTTGTTTAGGCGGGCACCCCTGGGGGGGGATAACTAATTCCTGGGAATCCGGCTATGCGCCTATCGGTGAGAACCTCATTGTCGAAATTGGTCGTTGCCTACAGAATTTCTCTTTTTTGGTTCTTTCGCATTATCGGGGGGCAAATTTTTATCTAAAAAAACCCTTGGCGGGATTGGAATTAAATTCAAGGGCCTGAAAAGCTGGGGGTATCCAAAAAAGGTTACGGCTAAAGGGGTGAACGAAAAACACAACGCGCGGCCATGAGACCAAAACAGCCCCTTTTTGCTCGTGCTTTTGCTGGTCGGCTCATTTTCGGGAGAGCTCCTCCGCACCGCCCTGCCAGCCCTATACGAATCCAATTTACATCAAGATTAGACCCGAAATGACAGCCCCGGGAGCGAGCTGGACGGGCTGGTCAAAAAGTTATCTGGAAAGACCGGAGATCAAAAATTATTACAGATTTTTAATGATATAATTCGGATACGGATTACAGAGTTATGAAACGAACTCGAAAATGCATGAAAACAATCAAATAAATTCTAAAAAATTATTACTTTTGGGTTTCTCGCATTATCGGGGGGGGACTTTTTTTTAAGTCTAGAAATGTCTAAGAACTTCATAGGATGCGTTTTAACAGTGTTTGGGCAAAAGTTACTGATCTTTCAGCTAGAAAAACTATCTCAAAAGGTTTAAAAAGTCGAAGTTTTGGGTAAAAAATCGGCCATTTTTGGTCGCGAAAATGATATTTTTGTCATTTTTAATAAAATTTTGTATAGTGTTCACGTTTAGTAAAAAAACGTTTAGAAACACTTGCACTATTGATATATGAAACATTAAATCCTAAGAAAACAGTGGTCCACCCCCTCGATAATGCGACAGAACCCCACTTTTTAACGACAGAATGAGGAAAGTCTTTGGGGTGGACGTTTTTACTTAAAATTGTCTAGTGATAAGCGGAAAGGGCTGGCGACGAAACTTGGGGCTGATAAAGGCCTACGACTAGGCAATCGCCATTGGAATTTCGATCTTTAAAATATACCGAAATGACGGACGAAGATCTTTTATAAAGTAGTAAAAGTGGTAGTAACATGGTATTTAAGACTCACGATGACTTTTGATGCGTTGCCCTGGCTCATGCCGCTGCGTGGTCGTGCCAAGTGCACGAGCTGATGATCGGTGAGTCGGTGCGCCGTTTTGCCGATTTCCGCGTCCCTCGAACACCCCGAAAAATGAACCCGGAAACTGTTGCCTCAAACCCAGTTGAGGCCGGTGACGTTCGACGATTGAGCTGAAATAAGGGATTTCGTCGAATAATCTGAATCTCAATAGTTGTATAAAGATGAAAGATAACAAGTTATTTTAGGTTAGATCGCAATGGATTATCATAATGCCGACTCAAAGTAATACCGATTACGTAATGTCGATTTTCCATAATGCTGATTCGCGTAATGTCGATTTACAGAATGCCAATTTACAGAATTCGGATTTTACATAATGCCGATTTTCGCTATTATAGGTATGTGATCGCGATGAAAATATCGACAAAAGTTATTGTTTCTTGATCATTTTTACTCAAGTTTTTCGTAAACCATTCTAAATTGTAGTAAATTCCTGGGCGTTTTTTTAAACACAAAACCGCTAAAAATACGATATGAGTTGGCTTTCAATTGTTTTCCTTTAAACATCTACAATTATTATTCTTTAAATTGTGTAAATCTAAAAATAAGAATGAAAGTGGGCCAATCGGCATTAGGTAAAATTGGTATTATGTAGATACTTCATAGCAATCGCTGAGCATGGTTTTTGGCAAATCAGCTACCGAAACGGCGTTTCAGGGACCAATTTGGGTCTCCCGACAACGCGCTACGGATCTTGGGCAACTGTTGCTAGGGACCAAAAATTGCGCGACTTCCGCATTACGCCAAAGCCCGTTCGAGTTTCCCGGATATCTTAGGATACCGAAAAATAAGGTTAACACGCAAAAACCACTCCCCGCTAAAGTCGCGCAATGCGTGGGAAAATGATTATGCACGGAGGCGTCTGAGGCTTCTTGAATGAAACGAAATGTTGTGGAAATAAGGATTTACGAGCTGAAGAACGCCAGCAAAACTGACATTTTAATTAAGGCAAGGAAGGCGATTTCGTGGCGATAGCTAATCAATACAGATGCACCAACCACGCATCTTTAGTGCGTGGAGAATTTGATACAGTAAGCTTGTAAATTTAAATTATAGGCATTAATGGGATCTAATACTAATATACTAATACTAATAAGACTTTATAAATCGACGAAAGAATCAAATAAATAAAGGTATTGTTCCGGCGCCATCATCAAGGCAATCTGTATTGCGTAAGTTATACGGACGTATCATCTTTTGCGCGTAAAGATCTTGCTTTCAAACTTGAAAAATTGGATCATTATGCATTAATGAGTGTCATACAAGAATTTGTATTTTGAAGTTTTCGATGGAAGCTTCGCATAAACCAAATAGCCCGATAAACTAACGAATTTGATAGTCAAATCGAAAAGTGCTTTATCCCTTTCCCAGGCACCCATCAGAATCGAGATTCCAAAAGTTCCAGAAAATCGGATAAGCCAGCTCCATTTCCCTGGAATGCAACCAGAGCCGATCATACGGAGGTCGCTGCGCGTCAAGTTTGTCGCGTCGCGTGTGCCCTAAGGGCCAAATATCGGCTATCGGCAGAAAAGAAGGGGGCTCCAACACTTTGTCCCAGCCACCTCATCAACTTCTTATCATCCCCCCCTGCTTACTAAAAGGAATCTCTTCCCCATTTTGATTGACTTTTATGAGTCGACCCGAAATTTGCCTATATTTGTAGTCTGTAGCCGATTTGCGGGAGGTATCGCCACACATTTTGACCTGGATTTCCAAGTTTTATAAAATTTCTTTTTAAAACAATAAATTATTTACTCCATAATAAAAAAATACCTTCGAGCTTGCCTTGTAAGCTACGTAGGGTTACGTTGCGTTCGAATTTACGTTATGAGAAGCATCACGGAACATTCGACCTGGATTTTCGGTTTTTAGTAAATTTCCTTTTAAAACCATGCCTTCTTTACTACAACATGAAAAATATAACTTTCCTATCGTAACCTAGGTAAGGGTATATTGCGTTTCCGTTTGAAGGATTATCGCGACAAATTTTGACCTGAATTCGCATAGTTTTCAACATTTTTTTGTAAAATAATGAATTCTTTTAGTGTGCATAAATTAGAGACCTTCGCTCTTTCCTCGTAAGCTACGTAAATGTACATTGCTTCCATTTACTTTAAGAAGGGTGTCGCGGCATTTTAATATCTTTCACAATTGCTTTGTGAAACAATATTAAAAATGTAACGTAACTTAAAAATCTCCGAAAACATTGCATTCTGACCCCATTCTCTAAAATATCACTTTTCCTTGCTCATTACAACCTAGCTCGCTGTTGTCTGACTTTTATTGAAGTTTTCAGGCTCTCCGCTCCAAACTTGTCGCCAGGGCCGTCACCATGATCGGCGGCCTCTTCGTGTACAACCACAAGGGTGAGGTGCTCATCTCGCGCATCTATCGGGACGATGTCAAGTGAGTTTCATTTTTTGGACAAAACTAACTTTGCTTTTCTAGCCGTAATGCGGTCGACGCGTTCCGTGTCAACGTCATCCACGCGAGACAGCAGGTAATTTGTTGAATTAGTTTCCTTTTTACGTTGATTATTTTTAGATCCGCTCGCCGGTCACGAACATGGCCCGAACTTCCTTCTTCCACGTGAAACGGGGCAACGTTTGGGTGTGCGCGGTCAGCAGACAAAATGTGAACGCGGCCATGGTTGGTGTATTTTTGGAAGACGGCTTTTCGATTTGTTGCGTTTATCAAAGGACGTTTACAGGTCTTCGAGTTCCTCAACCGATTCGCCGACACGATGCAATCCTATTTTGGAAAGCTGAATGAGGAAAACGTGAAGAACAATTTTGTGCTGATCTACGAGCTTCTCGACGGTACCGTTGGGATCTATTTTATCGCATCATCTGCTTTAGAAATCCTCGACTTCGGATATCCACAAAACACAGATCCGGGAGTGCTCAAAACCTTCATCACCCAACAAGGCGTGCGTACAGCAGTAAGTCTTTCAAAATCACTACAAATAATCGTTTCCCCTTTCATGAGGCACCGGTGCCCGTGGTAAGCAAATTGTTGTGTGCGGCGATTAGTTGATTGGCTTGCGAATTGATTTTTTATCTGGATTCCCTCCCGCGTATTTGTCATTGTGGCGCTTTTCGTTGCCCGTAGCAGATGTGAACGTGCATGTGTATTGCTAGGCTTTTCTATATTTTCCGTTTCAGACGAAAGAGGAGCAGTCGCAGATCACCTCGCAGGTGACCGGGCAGATCGGATGGCGTCGCGAGGGGATCAAATACCGCCGGAATGAGCTGTTCTTGGACGTCATCGAATATGTTAATCTGCTGATGAGTCAGCAAGGTGAGAAAAATTTGCCTTTAATCTGACAGCAAGTTGGAAAACGCGCAGCCCTTCAAATGCAACTATTTTTTCCTTCAGGACAAGTTCTCTCCGCACACGTTGCTGGTAAAGTGGCGATGAAGAGCTATCTGTCTGGAATGCCCGAATGCAAGTTCGGCATCAACGACAAGATTACGATCGAGGGCAAGAATCGAGCCGGCGCTGATGATCCGAACAAGGCGTACGTTTTTTCCGGCTTTATAATTTGGCTTACTCGTCAAAGGTCGAGAATACATGAAAAATCGAGCTGAAGTTTGCGATCTTTCAAAATATTGTATTTCCAGGTCTCGCGCCGCCGTCGCAATAGACGACTGCCAATTCCATCAATGCGTCAAGCTGAACAAGTTCGACACGGAGCATGCAATCTCGTTTATTCCCCCGGATGGCGAGTACGAGCTGATGAGGTAGCTATTTTATGTTGTTGTAATCTTTTGCAAGAGTAGGGGTTTCTACAACCCTTGAAAATATACCTTTTTAATTTTTTTGAAGTTGAAAATACTTTTTTCTAGATACCGCACGACAAAAGACATCCAGCTTCCATTCCGCGTTATCCCACTGGTCCGCGAGACGTCTAGGAATAAGATGGAGGTCAAGGTAAGTCTTTGATTTCTATCCTTTTTTCTGATCAATATATGCTAATATAGTCTATTTCATCTTTTTCAGGTTGTCCTCAAGTCCAACTTCAAGCCATCATTGCTCGCCCAGAAAATCGAGGTGCGGATCCCGACCCCGCCACACACCAGCGGCGTCCAGCTGATTTGCATGAAGGGAAAGGCCCGGTATCGTGCTGGAGAGAATGCCATCGTTTGGAAGTGAGTTTTGAAGTTTGGCTTCTTATATTTGTGATCGATTTTGGAAATTGGCAACTAAACCGGCTATTTTCAGGATCAAGCGCATGGGCGGCATGAAGGAATCGCAAATTTCTGCTGAAATCGACCTGCTCAGCACCGGCAATACGGAGAAGAAGAAATGGAATCGCCCGCCGGTCAGCATGAACTTTGAAGTTGGTTCTTTCACCATAGTTTTTCATTTTATGGGTGTAGTCAAAAACTAGGTGCTTCCGTGCTAGCGAGTGAGTAAAGCTAATTTTCTCTAATTGGGTGTTTTCTGCCTGGTAATTAATTAAAATATGCTTTAACGATGTTTATAGTATTTTCCGATCATTAAAACACGATTAAAACTTTCGGAACATTCGGAACATCTTAGAAATCCGAAGTTTTGTCCAGTTATGGCCATTTTTCATAAGTTTTTACCAAAAGTGAACATTTTCGGACTTTTCTTATTTTATTTAGAGTTTCAAGTTTTGTAAAACAATCTAAAATACTAGAATAATTGTTTTAACAAATAATGTTTTAATTGCTTCGCCCGTAGATTGGCATCGCAAGAAAATTGCCTTCTTCCCCTTCCGTTAAAAAAAGATTGCTCCCCCGCTCACACGGCAGCACGAAAAATTATTTTCCAGGTTCCCTTCGCCCCGTCCGGCCTCAAAGTGCGCTACCTGAAGGTGTTCGAGCCGAAGCTGAACTACTCGGACCACGACGTCATCAAGTGGGTGCGGTACATCGGCCGCTCCGGACTCTACGAGACCCGCTGCTGAACAAGCCAACGTCTACTTATGAAATTGCCCAAAATTCACTTGCTTGGTCGGGATTCCCACCCCCAGGCTGTAACTTATGCATCATTGTCAGTATTTATTTTTTCAAATTTTTTTTCAGTTTTCTAACCTCATCAGCATAATTTGCGCTGTATTTGCCCAAGTCCGTAGATCTGGTATCCCCCCGACTAGCAATGCCTGCTATCCTTCCCCGTAAACTCGTGCTCATCCCTGTAGAATTCATTTTTTATCGTCATCGCCGAAGTTGTAGACGTTGTGATTTCCGTCCGTTGCGTGCGCGATTCTGTACCATTTCTCCCCCAAACACCGTCGGCATTTTCACATTCCCTGAACAAACTGTAGTGCTAGGTGCCACCCATTTTTCGCATCGTGATTTCGGAGCTTGTTGTGAATTTGAATGACTACATAGCGTTGATACCAAATAAATTATTTATTATAAGGATTTAATGGATACAGGTGGACCGCTAGAACTAAGCGAACAACAACAGGAGCTTCAGCGGGTTTTTGGTCATGTTTAATGGTCCTAAAAACTTTAACAAGCTTCTTAAGCTACCCTCCAAGGAGTAGAAAAATAGCTTTTGATTCTTTGGCTCTATCTTCCTTCATGTACATTGTTTTTGGCAGCACAAATTTTGTGGAGGTTAAAAATTAAATTATTTTAATGATGTTTGATCAGCAGTTTCGCTCGCTCTCCAGGCTTATTTTCCGCTCTACAACTCCCGCCACAACACTCCGCCGCGCTTTCAACCCTAAATGGGCCCGTTTCGTTTCCGTTTCTGGCCACCCAAACCCGGGCACCTGGCCATGGTGCATTTGCATGTTATTTGGCCGGCAGCAGCGAAGCCCCCCCCCGCCCCTTGCCGACACGTGATGCCTGGGTGTCTGGGCAGAGGGCGTCTCTAGTCCCACCCTCTCTGTCTCTCTCGCTGTGTATGCTCTCTCCATCGTCCCTTCCCCCTCCCTATCTCTCGTCCACCCGGGCGCAAGCACATTCAATTCGGCACCCCTCCAAAGGGACTCTCTCTCACGGACCGACGACGACCACGCACACACATAGCTCACGTCTAGGCCCAAGCGCTAGCGACTAATATGGAAACCTAGTGGTTTTTCGGGATGAAGCTTTGCTTGCTTCTTCCTCAAGAGAATTTTAAAAGTTAAGGTTGTTCTTCTTGAAGCGGGGCTTTCTGGCATTGAACTACACGAATTTCTATTTACGTCTCTCTGTCACTTTCTCTCTCTCTCTCTCTCTCTCTCTCTCTCTCTCTCTCTCTCCCTTTCCTTGTCATTATGTGTAAATAGGTACGTTCGTTATCTAAAACGTGTCGGCGGACCCTTTGATTTGCTCTTGCGTACAGCATTGAGAAATTTCGGTATGACACATCCCTCCTGCAGCGAAAGCAGATTTGGAAGCAGTTTTTTCGTGTTTGTTCGTCTTCTATTTATTTCAGATTACGCTATTTCCTTGTTTTTTGATGTGAGGTGCGCTAAACTAACTAAATTATTCTAATAGTTTTTTTGATCTTCATCCTGTTGAATTACAACAGATTCATATCGCACTTCTTCTGAATACCTTTAGCTGACTGGATTTACCCTCTTGCTTGCTTGGAACCAGCTGCCCCGATGACCCGAAACATCCTAATGCCACAACAAGATGTTTTCGCTGGCATTCCACCAAAAAGAGCGAAGGCTCGATAGCGATCGCCGCCCTCGTGCTCCGCGATCTCATGTTGCTTTTTACCGCACATTCTCTTTATGCCAATATTCGGGGGTTTATAAAAGCTAGAGGGAAGAGCGAAATTGCTCCTTTTGTTCTTTTTCCTCCAATTTTCCCTACATGCCTTGGAGCTCTTTTATCAACGCCAAAATTTACATTCCAGAAACGGGGAAACTGTAAAAACCGGGCCCTCCCCTCACGGGTCTGGCCCGCCAAAACTGCTCAAAAATGGCGGCCACCTGCTCACTTGCCGAACGCATCCACGAGCGCTATTTTGATGAAAACGAATTCGTCTCTGAATTCATTTTGGTAAGTATCGATCATTGTAATGATGAGACTAGACGAACCATCGAAACCTCATCCCCGAACTATCGGGACACAGATTTACATAAATTATCCCATGCAGGACGCGTCCCCCCGAAAAAAGCTGCTGCCCCGTGGCCTGGAGATGATCGTGCTCAACCATATGCAAATCCGCGACGTCGGCGATACGGAACGCCTCGACGAATATATGCGCAGCGTCCGGGACTTGGATTTAGCGTGGAATGATATTAACGAGTGGGAGGAGGTCGGCTTTATATTACTTTTTTTTAAATTTGAACACTTTTAGCTCTCAAAGCTGTTCTCCCGACTCCCGGTGCTCTCCAATCTGAACCTATCGTTTAATCCACTGAACAAGATGGTTGATGTGACCCCACCAAAGATGGAGCGTCTCTCGACGCTGATTCTCAACGGGACAAATCTTCCCGTGTCCTCGATTCAGGCCATCGTTTCGGCTTGCCCGTCTTTGCGTGAGCTTCACCTCTCCCACAACGAGTTCAACATCGACGATCCGTCTACGTCTGAGCAGCCGGTGAGAGTTGTCATTACACAAAAAAGGCGCTGCTGTTTTGCGATAATCCGTTGTGGATTGCCGTAAAGCCCATCTGGGCTCGGGATTTTCGGGCCTGTGACCTTGTCGGTTTACAGTCGGCTGCCTTAGCCCCAGCCCATCCCTGCCCTAACCCTTCTTATAGCGGATAACAAGGGTGACCTAGTTGGCCAACAATGGATCCCTTGCCGCAGCCAATCCTAGATTACCGGTCATCATCGTGAATCTAGTAATGGTCATCGTAAAACGGCGCAGTTATAAAAACCTATAACGTTTTTTTATTTCAGGTGAGCGAGACCGTGACGACAATCCACCTGAACCACTGCGGTCTCCGCGACTGGGAGCATGTGATGAGACTTCTGAGTCTGTTCCCGAATAAGCGGACCGTGTACCTGAGCGAGAATCCGATAACCCGCATCCATACCGGAAGTTCACACCTCGATCCGGCGACCCATTGCACGTTGACGGCCATCACGCTCAGCAAGACCGAGATCGACGACTGGGAGAGGTGGGGCTTGATTTTTTCGACTCGGTCTACCTGACCATTGCCCTCAAAATCCCAAAATTCCTCCCGGATTTCAGTATCGATCACCTCGAACATTTTCCCTCCCTGCAGGAGGTCCGGCTCACCTGCACGCCAGTGCTCGAAAAATTTTCGGATGAGGAACGGGTCCACATGATCACGGCCAGGCTTGAGAAGCTCAAGGTCAGTGTGAGGATCGAAGCTGTGAACCAAAATCGTTGAAAGTAGTTTTCGAAATTCCCAAGTGCACTCTACGAGTTCCTTGCCACATGATCACTTTTTTACCCCCAATCGTCCCTCCGATTTTTTTCCGCAGGAGTGGGGGGGGTTGCAACCAGCTGAGTGAGTCGACCGATCAGAGAGTCAGCTGTGTGTGTGTATGCTTCACGTGCCCTCGTTTTCTTCGTGTCCCTGTTTCTGGGTGTCTCTCGACCGATTCCCACCCGCCCCGCCATCCGTTTGTTGTCTATGAGCGTGTGAGTGTAGGAGATGCATTGAAAGCGGAGGGACCTCCGCCGCCTGTCCACAACGATGGAAGGGCCGGGGCATTTTGACGGGCGTAAAAAAATAAGAATCGATCGTGAAGGTTCGGTGGGTGTGTTTTTCCTCGATATCTACCCGGGTACTGGATAACTTATTTTGAAATATGGAAATTTATATACTGCGTGTAAAGTAAAAGGAAACTAACAGTCGAGAAAAATGCTGCTTTCATTTTCATTTTTATTAAAAATTTTCTAAAAAACAGGTAGCTTTTCACTAGGAATTTCGCAAATACAATGCACCTCTTGCATCGATTCACCGTTTTCATGGTTTTCGGACGTAAAATTCGTTAATAAAAATGCATAATACAGGGAATGATCTTTCTTTATTTCTCGTTTTTTTCGAGAGCATTCGATAGATACCTAAATCGTTCGAATCGGATAGAGGGGGGTAGTTTTTTGGACACCCTGTAGACGCGCTATTCCATGAACCCCGCTACTTACGAGGATCGATGTGTGGTGGAGGCGGCACCTCTTTGAAGTGGTGCCGGGATGGGGCAAAAAGAAACGCTAAGCATGCTAAAGGGCTTTCGCGACAAAACGGGAAATCCTTTCCGGGGTGGTGCCGACCTGGAGGCATGATGCCATACTAAACGAAAGCCGATTAGACCTCGCAGCCGGAAAATATTTCGGCAGAAAACAAGATTCTTACGGGCTATACGGGGGGCGGGGGCTTGATGGCGTAATTGCATGTGGAAGCACTAGTGCTGATATCCATAGGCGAATACCGGAAAAGAAGGAGTCAGGATTGACAATTCAAGATTCGAAAACACGGACAAGCGAATCTAGACCTTCAAAATTGTTGCAGGTTTTGAACGGGTCAATCATCACGGATGAACAACGAGAGACCTCCGAGCGGTTCTTCATCAGATATTTCCAAGACCGGGACGACAAACCGCCACACTATCAACGGTTGCTCGAGAAGCACGGCAATATTGAGAAGCTGGTGAAGGTGAGTTAGCTTCCTTGTTTGTCTAATTGGAAGCTACTCTCCTTGTAAAGCCTCCAAGTTAATTATCCAACAAAAACTTTAGGTAGACCTCACGCCACAACTAAAAGTCAGGCTGAAGCTGGTGTGCGAGGAGACGAACTTCAAATGCGACGTGACGGCGCCTGTCAATCGCTCCATCGCAGAATTCTTCAGGTGAGGGGTTGAGTCCTAGAATTTTGCAAACAATTGTATTTCCAGTTCAGGATTGGATAATAAGCAGTAATCGGGTGCGGCTAGGTATCCGGAGGTAGTCGAATCGGGCGGTCAGGTCGCTTGTTTGTGTGACCCTTCACCCCAGTCGCCAATTATTTGCGCGGCTTTTGAGACGGGCCAGCTGCCCGGACTCATGGGGGTCGGGGCTGATTGTTGCTTTTTGGATGGAGAGGAGTGCCGAATGGATGTGGCTGTTTACCGGCGGTTTTTAAACAATTCAATGCATCTCTAAAGGGGGATCTAAGGGGTCGTTTTAAGGGATGGAGCGCGATGTTCTGATTCTCAACAGCTTTCTTTGAAGACGGCAGCAAGAAATGGGTTTAACAAAACTAGACGAACTAGATTCTACACTCCTTTAAATTCCGATGCCTGAGTATCTTGAGCTAGGCAAACGTTAGCTATAGAGCACGGGGTAGTCGATGTCTTCACGGGCTTTGGTTTACCCTCGACTGACTTGCTCTGTGTGTCTCTTTGTCTCTAAAGCAGACAAACACGGGCATTGTGTCGGCCTAACGATGGTCCTACGCACTCTTCGGACCCCCCTAATAAGCACTCGACGCAAATAGGCATCCTGCGAGCAATCTGAGATGGCCCCGGGGGTTTGGGGGGATATTCTACGATTTTGGGCACTAGGGGGATTATGAAGTGAAAAGGGTAGGGTTTTTCGCCTCCCGTTTGCTTCAGTCTACTACCGGGTGTTCCAAAAAAATAGACTTCCTTTAGCGATCCGGAGGAAGGTTGCATCGGGATGATTTTTACACCATTCGAAAGCTCTCGAGACGCAACGAGTTCTTTGTTTTACAAGAATTTTAGCCCTCGCTTTTTTGGACCTCAAAAGCGTGAATTAAAAGACCTATACTGAAAAGTGAAAAGTGCTTGTTTTCTCGCCGATCCGGGAGCTTTCGATAGATACTTAGATCGTAAAAATTAGACATGACTGCGGCCCGCTAAAGGGGCGACTTTTTGAGACACCCTGTATTTTATGATGTACTAGTGCAAGTAGTCTCACTACGTACGCACTCATTTTCATTACCTCTCCACCCCATCCATCATCCATGATCCCAAATTCCACGTACCCATTTGCAAACCCGCCCGGATATCTACCCGATGTGAAAGTAGCTCCGCAGTGGCCCGGAATGGCGAGCGCATCCCAGGCTGGGGCGTGACCTCGTGAATATTTGCCAAAAGTCAATTAGCCGGAGGGGAAGATGGCGCGATAAGACCCATTCTTCTATATGAAGGAGGGGAGGGGAGATGGGATACTTGGAAACGGGAATGGAGTTGGGGTCCCGGAACGCGCAAGCCTAAATACGGGCATTAGGTATCATCAAAACTTTCTGGAAAATTTAAAAGGGAATTCCATTTCAGATTCCTCGAAACTCAAACGGGGATTCAAGCGGGCCGCATGCGGGTATTCCACTGCCGGGGTGAGAACATCCTCAGCACCACCGAAATACGGCCCTCCAAGCAGGCGTTCCATACGACGCACGCCGAAGATGGAGATACCTTTATGGTTCAGGTATGCTAAATTGTCTCAAAAAAGTGATACTGGTCTGCGCGACCTGATAGGATCGAAAAAACGGCTTTTTCGAAGAACAAAGTCATTTTTCAAGGTGCCAGCGAAAGTTTTTGTCGCCAGCATCTATTTTCCGACTTGATAAAATAAATAACCCGATTCGCGAGCTATTGGATTCAAGGTCTTTGCAAAAATTCGGTTCTTTAGGATTCCGGGGGCGGGGGACTTTTTTCGCGTCAATTCCGTGGGCCCAGTAATCGAATGTAAAGAGTTTTATATTCTTTTTAGAAACGTATTTTTCAATTTCCCCAATTCAGAGCAAGCCGATCGTGTCGAGGAAACGGGCGGGAGCCCCTAAATCCGAGTCGAGCGACCACTGAACGCGCCCCGACCCCTAGCTGAACATATTCGCCTCGTTCCGTGTTTGTACTTTCTTTTCCCATCCCAACATAGTCATTTTTAGTAGTTTTCGTGTGTACACACCTCCTGGTATCCTCTCTCTCTATCTGTGATCGGAAGCTTTTGTGTTTGTGTGCAAACCTCCCGGCTGTAATTTTTCCCGCTGCATTAAAGGGACCTTCCTAATCCCTTTAATCTTCTTCTACAAACATTGTCCGACCCTCTCTAAATGTTCCTTTCCTTCTCTATCACTCACCTCAGCTTCGCAGTCATTACTTGGTGGCCTATACTGGTCCGTTGTACCCCCACGCCATCAGCGAAACGCATTTCCCCCTCAACAATTCGTGTAGTTTGTAGTCAATTCTTTTTCTGGTGGTTTGTATAAATGATAACTACGTCCTTGCTATTGAAATTGGTCACGGAAATGGGGCTTTCGGGCGGGGATGCACTCGATTTTACGGGATTAATGACCTCGGGGGACAGTTGCCATGTGATCGTGGGTAAAAATAGGCCACTCGGCGAGTGTCTGCCAATCTTTGATCCGGAAATTGATCTTCAGGCTGGGAATGCTTTGGAAGCATCAAAAACTTAAATTTTTTTAGAAGAATTGTGCAGCAGTTTAGGAAGTGGTGAAATTTGGAATTATGATTTTTGACGTTATGAATTTCAACATTATAACTTTCGGCATTATGAATTTCGAAATTATGATTTTCGACATGATGTATTACGATATTATGAATTTCGACATGATGATAACAAGTCGTCCCTCTATTATAGTTTTTAGTTCCATGCGCTAAATTAAATGGTTTCTCGAGACCACGAGTTTCAACTATAAAATTTAAACAAAGCAAGACAATAAAACAATTCAAATCACAGATCAACACAGCCCAAATTTATTTTTCAGCGACATCTTGCTCTCCGTTCGATGGCGGAACCGAGCGGAGTGACCCAAAAATAGCTGCAAGCGCGCGCGATGTCTTGGTTTAGTGGGACGGGCGGATGGTTATCTTTGGACGGTCAGTTTGAGCGATGAACTCGCTACGTGGTGTCGCACGGATCAACCGGAAACTGTGCAGAGAAATTGCCCCCGCCTTCTCTTCCCGTGATATAAAAGGATTGGGCTGACTCGATCACAGCGCGTCAATTCTTGCAATGTCAACGCTCACCCGGTGTTTTGTTTATTTTGCGCTTCTGGCGATTGTAATTGTTGCTGTTGGTGAGTTATTGATTTTTTTCAGAACTACCAGGTGTCCATTAGGCCTTTGGAGGAATGAAGCCTTGTTTTCAGAAGCCAGCACCTTAGGCGACGAATGGAGAACGGCGAGACACGCGAAAACGAAAGAAATCGATGACAAGCTGAGCGCCTACATCAAGCTACTTGCCCCGAATGTTGTGGATCGTGTCGCGCCGAAGCCAGTCCCGGGCAAATTCTTCCGATTCCTTCGTTAGGTCGAAATTCGCGACTTAAAATGAATATTGGGTGACTTGAAACGTGATCTCTGTAGATAAAGATTCGACTTGAAGCTGTTTTGGATGCAAGGTACACTGACTCTCATTCAGTCATTCAAGCTTTCATTACCAAATCTTTTTTCAATCCGCCAATACCTCATCTAAGCGCAATCTGTAGCACTTTATTCTGGCAATGGCTGGCAAATTTAAAAAGAGCTTTTCATAGAAAACTTTTCGGAAATAAGTCAAGAGTTGGCGGTTCGCCGAGACGAGACGACGGCGCTGCTTTGGCGCCGCGGGGTCGTGTTGCTCGAACGGCTCGACGGGCGGGAGTTCGTCTTACTGAAACGTCGACTACGCCCACGATCAACATGTGAAGACCCTATATCCCAGGCAACTTATCGATCCATTCGCTTCAATTTCAATTCCCGAACCCACCTAGTGGCCGGGGTTCTGGCTGGCGATATCGAATTTCTGGCTCCACCTATCGGCTTCGAAGGCGGCTGCTTGGCGGCAGAAGAAGCGGTGGACCTACTAGAAAAGTTTTATCCCAAATGCGTTTGCGTGCCTGGCAATGCTGGGCAATTTAATCTTATCGATCGTCAAATCGGCTTTCGAGCTGGAACGTTCGCGGTCCCAGAATTGGCGCAGGTTGCGTCGCATCACCTGTAGTGAGAAATCTCTAAGGTATCACAAAGAAGAAAAAATACCTTTCCGCAAACGTTTCGCGGTATTTCCGAGACAAAGAACACGCCGCCGCGCAGCTCTTTGAACTGAGCAATTTTCCCTGAAAATAAAAGGATTTCGGCGAAATTTTTTTGCACCTGCTGCGTACTGGCGGACCTCTGCTGATGCTAAGGTAGAAAAACTCGGGTTCCGGACCACAAAAGCAGCTGGGACCTGAAAATCTGTGCATAGGTTTCAACTGGTCTTCAGACTTCGCCAGTGACATGATCTTGGCGCCCAACCACTGCAACATCATCAATACCGGGGTGTGTCCTCAGAATACTTTCGACTTCCGACGGAGACACCTTGAAAGCGGTTTTAAGAATAATATATCTTTCTTGCCAATGTCCCCTTGCAGCGGATCATGTCTTTGATGCGGTCGACGATGTAGATCAGGCCATTCTCATCGTAGTAGGCAGCATCTCCTGAAATAATGCGATCCTCAATATCAACAGGATTAATTCACCGGTCCTCACGAATCCATCCGCTTCAACAAGCTCATTGGTTGCCTTGGGATTTTTGAAATATCTCGGCGAGACCTGTGGTCCAGCCGCATACAAATGACCAAGCTGTCTTGGGCTACACAAGGCCTGGGTTTCCCAGTTTAGCACCTAGAAATCCGAGAAGCATCGACTTAATTAAAAGTTACCAATACCTTTAGAAGCATTCCTGGCAGCGGGGCCCCGACACTTTCCGGCTTGTCAGTGCCAGCGAACGGTAAAGTGCATAGACCACCTAGTTCCGTCATCCCATAAGCTAGGAATGGTACCATATCGACCAGAACAACTTCTACATACCTTGCCTAACATCACCGATTCTGAATCTCGATCTGCACAACTTCAACAAGTTACTGTCCACCGGCGAACCGCTAACAATCAACGAACGGAGGAAGGGCAAATGCACCAATTCCAGAGTCGGGTCGTTGGCAAGTCCGTGCAGTACTGGAGCCGTAATGTGACCCACGTTGATCTGGAAAAATCTGTACTGTTGCGAGAAGGCGAACATATTTTTCTCTTTTTCTATTCATTTCGCTAATTCTCTTTGAACGCCCTCTTTGTTCTAGGTCTATAAATACCTTATGATAGTTGAGCGCATCAGCCACACCCTTCGTCGTCCATTTATGTAGCGTACAGACCGTGGCCCCGTTGATGAGGGCGTAATAAGCAGATAGGATACCCCAGAGGTGGGACATGGAGATTGGCAGCAAAAAGCGTTCCTGAAAAATTTAAAGTTGGCGCTGATTCGACTAGATGTATAACCCTATCTATAACCATTACATCCAACTAACTATCAGGTTATATGATATCAGACCTTAAACTGAACAGGCCCATAAAGCGAGCAGGACATTTGCTGGATGTTGATGATCAGCGAGCGATGTGAGACTTCCAGAGGCTAAAGCATGTATGGATACCGTACCACACGGCTCAAACCTTCGGTGCACTTGTCGTCCCGGAAGTGAAAAATATCATGAACGGGTTGCTCGTGTGCGGCGATTGGTGGGAATAATCCGAGGACGTTATTGGAGGGTAGATTATATCCGAATGGTCCGAGTCCTGCGAAATCGATTGGCGCTAGAAGTGGCTTTTTTTTTGTTGACAGAATCTATGGATTACCCCTTTCTCCATATTATTCGTCTTATCGGACATCGGGGACAGTAGCTCACCGTTGCCAAGAGAGATTGACTCGCCCATAGCTTGTGAAATTTGCATGGCATCAACCTTGCTGAACGAAAAGGGTTAGTAGCGGATGATGAAATCAATGTCGGTAATACTCTAAAGCTCTAAAGCTCCAGCTCTAAAGCACTCACATCAATTTTTGGCTTGACGAATTTCGGAGGAATGGTGGTGGCCTGAAATTTGCAATCTCGGAAGTTAGTAGCGGATTACCGGGGCGCGACATATCCACGACCCTCCGTACATAGGGCATCACTCGACAGCACGTCGTCGAAACCACGTACCCCCTTGATGCGTCCAGTACCTCGCATTTGGGCTTTTCGTCTGACATCTTCCGCCTAGAGGATAGAAAAGCTTTCCAGCTCTTTTTCGCTAGCTACCTTCTGCAGGAACGTCGCCTCGGCAATGAGGTGTGATGACTCGCTGATGTCAACCAGTTGCCAGAGCTCGTCTGGAAATGGTTGTCAGGAAGACCTTGGCCTAGGCGAAGGTTAGGTTTAGGCTTAGAATTAGACTTATTCATAGGCATAGGCTTAGGGACAGGCTTAAGTGGCCGACTTCACATGTCTGAGCCCGTGCTTTATGAGCCAGTTGAAATAAAGATATCCTCTTCTCACGTTTTCTCTTTGTATGTGCCCCTTGAAATGCTGGGAGAGATAAAAATTTTCTGTTGAAGACCTAATTGAATGAAGACAAGCTATTTCCATGACAATCACCATGCACCGAGGCCGTAATTGGCAAGCTCTATGCGCGTAGTGGATGCAAAATCCTGGCTCTACCATCTTGAGACTTGTGCTTGTGCATCTATTTTATTGTTTCTGTCATAAAAAGCTTCATATCTGTCGTCGAAAAAATTAAACTGGACGGAAAGATGCTTATTTTCAAGGGCTTAAGGTTTAAATTTATTGCTAAGCATAAAGATACGGCTCGGCGGAGACAAAGGTCTAAAAGCCAGTGGCTCTATCATTTTGATAAACATGCTCTCTCGGGGAAATACAAGCTTACCAAAATCGCCTTAAAATCACCAACCTATAGCCAAAAATCCGTTGACGGCAACAACGGTACACCCGATCGAAGCGCAGGCCAAATGGATGAACAGCGTCTGGCCGGTGGTGCCCGAAATGATGGCCACCCGCGACTTCTCCCCAATTCCAATTTCCTGCAACACGTTTTATTGGGCGGGCCGTAAAGGCGAAGCTACCCGGAGTCGCTCGGCCGCCATCGTCACCCAGACCTTGATCTCCGAATAGCGCCATTGTTTGTTGCTTTCAATGTCGATCTGAATTATTTGTAGAAGTGACTGATGCGCTTCGCGGGTACTGTAAAGTGTTCCCATTCTAGATGCGGCCCATCGTGCGGCAAATTTTTTTCTAGTTTGTTGTCATTTTTTGCAAAATTTTATGCAGTTATCAAAGAACCCGTTAAAAACAACACATAACAGGCTGCATTTTTCAAAATCGCTAAACAATGAGACGTTTTCGAGTGACAATCGAGTTTCTGTACTGAACCAAGCCTACCTTGTGCAAAAATTTGGTTGATTCTGAGCCGGCCTTCAAAATCTGCGAATCGATTAGACCGAAAAAAGTCAAAAAGTCTTTTTAAGGCGCCCCGTCACTCCGGACCCGCCGAGATTGCGCTATTTCGGGCCCTTTTCGGATTTAGAACCTTCATACCTTTTTGACTCTTATCGCTTCGTAGACTTGGGAAACAGGCGCGAAACTAGCGCAAAACTCTGCACAAGGTAGGCTTGGTGCCGTACGGAAACTCGATTGTCGCTAGAAAACGACAGCCTAACTGACTTGTACCTTGTAACTAACTAACTAACCACCTAACTTACCAATGCCACATTCGACCCATATCCGGCGATTTTGCCCAGGAAAAACTCGAGGAATGACTGGTATGGATAGCGGTCCCACGAAATTTGAAATGGATTCTGCACCTCCATCTGAAAACTGTAAGCAATCGATCGTGAAGCTGCTCAAAATAATGCGCAAAACCTAATCGTTCTGGCGTAAGGATAAACGGACCCAAAAATGACGGCGTGCGGCGGGGCGCTCGGGAAGGCCACAAGTTGGCGAGCTGGGGCCGAATGAGGATGCTCAGGAATGCAGTGCGCCATGCATTGGGGGCCGCTAAAAATGGCGAGGCTCATCCTTGCGAATCCCTCCCGATGCCACTGTGTCTCCCCAGCAGGGGGGCTGAAGCTTGAAGAAACGAAGAAGATATGGCCGATTTTTGTAGGAAATGTATTCCGGGACCCTGACGGGAGACGCTTCACTCCCCCAACTTGTCTTGCCCTTGTCATGTCCTTCTATATAGCTCCATTTTCCGTCGCGCCTTTTATGGGGCGCCTAAAAGGGCCTAAAAAGGAAACGTTGGGGGATGGTCTATCGAAGCCCCCAATTTAATTTACAGAGATGAGAACGGCATCTGTTGACCCCCCTGGGGCCCTTCAACAGGTCCCGCGGCGAGAGAGGGCGCCCAGGGGAGAGGCGCAAAGACATTTTCTTTCCCGCGCGTAATCGATTGACTTATGCCGCCCCTATCCCTTTAATTTTTCGATCGTAAACAAATTTGATCAAGGAAGCCCTAGCTTTTTTTGTTGTTTTCAGCACGTTTTGGTTCAAGCAGTTAGTCAGTCAGTCAGTCGGCAGGTTGACGATCCAGTCGACATTGGCTCCTTTTCGTAACACTTCCAAAAACTACTGCAACGTTTTTTAATGCTTCGAATGTTTTTCGAAATTTGCCGGCTGCCAGAACCCATTTAAAAATATTACAAAGCATTTTCCGTTCAATCGTAAGTTTTCGGACAAGCCACAAAAACGCGGCCCACATTATCCCAAGTCTGTCCATGCATCTTTTAGCAAGCAACGTCTCTCCGGCCATGCCCAATCATCTACGATGGTCGTGTGCCGGCACATTTTAGGCATTTGGGGGTGATGTTTATGCCTTCACCCTCCGCTTGCCTCTCAGTCACACTTGAAACTCTGAAAAATTCCCACGAGCCTTCGGAAAAGCGTTTCCGGTCTCTGCGAATGGGCCTCTTGCCTAGAAAGACATTTGCTGCCCAAACCCATGTTTTTAGGATACCTTTCCTTTTCATTTCGTCAGGCCACTCCAGAATATTCTATTCTTGCCGCAATCGATATCTTCTCCAGGCTCGATCTTTCAGATGCAGAAGGAGTCTCTCGTAGCCAGGCTATTGCAGATCTGGATTGTGGGACGATGCCGGTGCTATATGAGACGCTCCAAGTCTGATACGCATCTCCCATGCTTCCATATAGATCGTTGGGTCGTTGAAGGAGTCGAAGACTGCCTCCAAAACATCAAGTAAGTATCAGCTCCAATAGCACCATCATCATCTCCGTAGGTTGGAAACACCCGCGAATGACGAAGTATACACGGAAAGCCTCGACTCCCTTGTACCTATTTTTTGCCCAAAATGAATACATTGTAGTTCATATGCCTGTCGGTGTAACACAACTTCGACGTAACAACAGCCAGTATCTTCTTGCAAAGGAAAAACTATTCGACAAGGTTAATTTCTAGCAAACATATGCAAGCAAGCGAGATTTTGCAAAGCCGTCTCGTTGAAGATTTCTGCACTTCCCGAAGGAAATGCGTTCCAAAATTTGTTCGATACACTCGTGGAGGTCTCGGGGTTAATGCTAACCTCAAACTTGGGTAATTAAACCGAAGCTGTCGTTGGATGGCCGCTCTTACCATCTGCCTGGACTCCAGGTGAGCGACTTTTCCCTTGCGGCCACTTGCTGAAACAGTATGATTTTCCAAGTTTCGAAAAATCATAGCAACCATACCCATCCGGCTTCGTACCAGAGTTTGTTCGGCGCTATTTTTGATGCTCGTTCAGCTGCAAATTGAGTTGCGTATTGAAAATGCCCGTATGGCCCCGGTTACGCCTCGAAAGGTAGCGTAAATCCCTTCACCGTACAGTTGCGTACAACGACCATACGCGCTGCGTAGCCACATTAATAATTTTCGTGAATTCGTTTCACATTGGCGTTATTTGTGCACCTCCCGAAGGAAATGCGTTCCAAAATTTGTTCGAGACACTCGTGGAGGTCTCGGGGTTAATGCTAACCTCAAACTTGGGTAATTAAACCGAAGCTGTCGTTGGATGGCCGCTCTTACCATCTGCCTGGACTCCAGGTGAGCGACTTTTCCCTTGCGGCCACTTGCTGAAACAGTATGATTTTCCAAGTTCCGAAAAAATCCATGTGGTCCCCCTTTGGTCGTAAACCATCAAAACCAAAAGTTTCAAAAAATCGTAGCAATTAGACCAGGGCCTCCGGTGCTTCGGAAGAAACTGTTTTCGGTACTATTTTTGGTGCTCTTTCAGCTCCACATCGAAGTGCGTGATGAATTTCTCGAAATTTTTTTGGTAAATTCCGAAAAAATCCATGTGGTCCCCCTTTGGTCGTAAACCATCCAAACCAAAAGTTTCAAAAAATCGTAGCAATTAAACCAGGGCCTCCGGGGCTTCGGAAGAAACTGTTTTCGGTACTATTTTTGGTGCTCTTTCAGGTGCACACATCAAAGCGATTTCGCACGGTCGATTTCTCTCGGAATCGGGCTTGGAAGGCCTGTCGACCAGGGCTGCCTATTTGCAACATTCAAAAAATCCTAGCAATTAAACCAGGGCCTCCGGTGGTTTGGAAGAAACTGTTTTCGGTACTATTTTTGGTGCTCTTTCAGCTCCACATCGAAGTGCGTGATGAATTTCTCGAAATTTTTTTGGTAAATTCCGAAAAATTCCATGTGGTCCCCCCTTTGGTCGTAAACCATCCAAACCAAAAGTTTCAAAAAATCGTAGCAATTAAACCAGGGCCTCCGGGGCTTCGGAAGAAACTGTTTTCGGTACTATTTTTGGTGCTCTTTCAGGTGCACACATCAAAGCGATTTCGCACGGTCGATTTCTCGCGGAATCGGGCTTGGAAGGCCTGTCGACCAGGGCTGCCTATTTGCAACATTCAAAAAATCCTAGCAATTAAACCAGGGCCTCCGGTGGTTTGGAAGGAACTGTTTTCGGTACTATTTTTGGTGCTCTTTCAGGCGCACACATCAAAGCGATTTCGCACGGTCGATTTCTCGCAATCGGGCTTGGAAGGCCTGGTCGACGAGGGCTGCCTAGTTGCAACATTCAAAAAATCCTAGCAATTAAACCAGGGCCTCCGGTGCTTCGGAAGAAATTGTTTTCGGTATTATTTTGGGTGCTCTTTCAGGTGCACACATCAAAGCGATTTCGCACGGTCGATTTCTTGCGGAATCGGGCTTGGAAGGCCTGGTCGACGAGGGCTGCCTAGTTGCAACATTCAAAAAATCCTAGCAATTAAACCAGGGCCTCCGGGGTCTCGGAAGATAGGTTTTCGGTAGCAAAAAATACGCTCACAGATATATCTGGTTGATCTAGGGGGGGTCGATATGATTGCGAAATTCGTCGTAAAAAAGGTCGCATTCAAGGCAGGGTCTCGGCAGATCGCAGCTCAGATAGATGCTAGAGCTACTCTACGTACGGGAGGGAAGGTTGAGGGAGGAGCATCAGCAACAACGACACCTCCTGGGGACTACCACCCTATTCTAACTAAGGTAGCCGGCGCCATTCCGGAAATCTCTCGGTGTAGTGCTTAGGCTAGGGCTGCTATGGACGGCTAACTTCGTAGCCCGATCCAACAAAAATCAACAACCAAGTATCTAGCGGTGCAACGCGCCGAGAAAAAATGCCCCAACAAATCCGGCTGGCCCAAAAAAGCATACCAGTCCGGGGGCTCGTCCTAAGCCTAAGCCTAAGCCTAAGCCTAAGCCTAAGCCTAAGCCTAAGCCTAAGCCTAAGCCTAAGCCTAAGCCTAAGCCTAAGCCTAAGCCTAAGCCTAAGCCTAAGCCTAAGCCTAAGCCTAAGCCTAAGCCTAAGCTGAGGGTCAATCGTTGGCCTACTCAGTGGAGAGCTCTGGGAACCCCCTCCACACTAGTGGGCCAGGTGGGGGGCGGGTGCGAAGCAAGCAGTGAAGCCCGCCCTGCGATTCCGCTACGAAATAGCGTCCGGATTGCGGAAACGCCCGATTTGGCCGAATTGAGGATTAGGGGTCTTCGAGCTGCTGTTGCGCCAAGGAGCGATGTGACGGCCGAGCCAGTTAGCAACCCGGAATCAGCGTTTCAAAGCGCTTCGAATGGTCTGCTTACATTGATCGGAAGCGCGCGGCCCGTTTTTGAAAAAATCCATGTGGTCCCACTTTAGTCGTAAACCATCAAAAATAAAAGTTTCAAAAAACCCTAGCAATTAAACCAGGGCCTCCGGTGCTTCGGAAGAAACTGTTTTCGGTATTATTTTGGGTGCTCTTTCAGCTCCACATCGAAGTGCGTGATGAATTTCTCGAAATTTTTTTGGTAAATTCCGAAAAAATCCATGTGGTCCCCCCTTTGGTCGCAAACCATCAAAACCAAAAGTTTCAAAAAATCGTAGCAATTAAACCAGGGCCTCCGGTGCTTCGGAAGAAACTGTTTTCGATACTATTTTTGGTGCTCTTTCAGGTGCACACATCAAAGCGATTTCGCACGGTCGATTTCTCGCGGAATCGGGCTTGGAAGGCCTGTCGACCAGGGCTGCCTATTTGCAACATTCAAAAAATCCTAGCAATTAAACCAGGGCCTCCGGTGGTTTGGAAGAAACTGTTTTCGGTACCATTTTTGGTGCTCTTTCAGCTCCACATCGAAGTGCGTGATGAATTTCTCGAAATTTTTTTGGTAAATTCCGAAAAATTCCATGTGGTCGTAAACCATTAAAACCAAAAGTTTCAAAAAATCCTAGCAATTAAACCAGGGCCTCCGGTGCTTCGGAAGAAATTGTTTTCGGTATTATTTTGGGTGCTCTTTCAGGTGCTCACATCAAAGCGATTTCGCACGGTCGATTTCTTGCGGAATCGGGCTTGG